TATATAACATGTACATATATATAATATTGTTGCATGAAGTAGCAACACAAATATATACTTAATTACATATATTTATAAATATATAATTAGGTACATTTATAATAAATATATTCTATATTTATAAATACATATAATTATATATTAAATATATTTGTTATATATAATACACACACACACACACACACACACACACACACACACAGAGGTAAATAGCATTTGTTGTGATCCCATGGGTTCCTAAGTATCTTTGCACTGTTTAGTCTGTTTTTACTTTTTTGCAGAGACTGAATGATTTAAGTTGCTCTTTCTTCAAGTTCACTCTGTCTTTCCTTCATCTCTTTAATTCTGCTGAGTCCATCATTGAGTTTTCTATTTCAATTATTGTTTTCAGTTCTAAAATTTCCATGTGGTTTCTTTGTTGTATGTTTCCATTTTTGTTTCTGAAACTTTTTTTTTTTTTTTGGTGGTCCTGGGGTTTGAACTTAGGGCCTCATGCTTGCTAGACAGGCCACTTGAGACACTCTGCCAGCCCCATGAGACTCTATTTTTTGTTTTTTAAAGCATCTTTTAGTTCATGCAGCAATTTTATGATATTTTAAAGTCTTTGAAAGATAATTCTAACATTTTCATTGTGTCTTGAAAATTTTGAAATGTAATGTTTTAAGATTTACTTATTTATAAGCACTTAATTTTTATGATTTTCTCTTTGTTTCATGTTTTAAAAAGATTTCCAAATATATTGGAGTGATTTTATTTATTTGTATTATCCTCTTCAACTTCATTGCATTATAGTCAGAGAATGTGACCATGTTTATTACTATGCTTATTACTTGAAGTTAATAAAACCTCTTCTCTAAATGATGGAGTGGGAAAATCTAAGATATATTGTAAGCACATATATAAATATTAAAATATACCCCCTGTACAATGATTATATGCTAATTAAATAATAAAAAATTATGGAAAAGCAAAAAGAACCCCTCTTCTCTAGACAATAAATTGTCACAATCTAAATCAAATAGTAGCTGCAATAGTAGCTGCCTTGACAGATGTGGCATCTTTGCTAGAGGAGATTGAAATGAACTCACGCATAGAGTATGAGGTTATTGACTTAGGCAATATCCTTTATTCTATCCTTGACATCACAAAAAGGATCAGAAATGGATAATATACATTCATAGTTTTGCCCAGGACTATGTAAACTCGTAGGTCTGTAGTTATGATATCACCTAAATAGAGCCATATACATCCTATAGAATGTCACTTTGACCCCATATATTGGTAATATCATGCTAATTGAGTCAGATGAGTGTGAAGTGGCAAGTACATTGAGAGGCCTGGTAAGATGGAAGTGCCCCAGAGGATGAGTGATAACCCTTATGAAGATTTAGTTTTAACTGTTGCATTAGATAAAAGTATCTGGGTTTGCTTTCAGGAGATTGTGACCTGCCAGGGTTTATTATTAACTCTAAAGATAATTGAGCTATTGTAGTATTTAATGTAGGGTAAATTAAGTTAAAAGAACATTATCACAACATTTCTGCCTATTGTTTTTCTGGTGCTGTATGTAGATATGTTTTCAATGTGTTGGCATTTTAAAGCTGTGCTTCAGATTTCAAAAATCCCATGAAACATGATATGAGAATGCAGTAAATAGCTCATTTCCATGGATGGTTAACTCTCTTGCTTTATCCGATCCTTAGCTCCTTTCTATGAGCCAGTGGTTCTGAACTAAGTAGAGATCAACTCTTTCTTTCCTGGAACTATCAGTTTTACTTTTCAATGTATCATGATTTTGGATTATTGGTAGGATTTTTTTTTTTTAAATACTGTCTTAAGTGCTTATTGGAGTATTGTCTCCTGGACAGTACTCAGGAGACTCTTATTTCAAAGAACAGGGTTTTTATTCAAATTCACACAACACTTTCCTATGGATCCTAATGCCTGTCTCTGCTACCCTAGCCAGCCAGGAGTTACTCAGACCTTCCCCCAAGTCTCACTCACCGTGCGCTGCCTTCTCAGCCGATGAGGGGGACATAGCTGTGCCCCAGGGGATCCTCACAGCCGCCTTCAGTGCAGGTCCAGTTCATGGTTCACTGGCGACACACAGTGCTCACTGGGAGAAGGGGCACACTCACAAGCGGTGGCTGCCTGTACGTCAGGGTCTTGGGATGGACTCTGACAGCGTGGTCTCTGATGGGTGAGGAGATGAGCAAGGCTTTGGGTTCTGGCCTGAGTTTATATACCCTGTGGTGACCTCACCACTTCTGTTTTCCACACTGTCACCTTAGGGTTGTCTTATTAGTATATCAGCCACCACCTTAGGTTTGGCTCATTAGCATATCAGCCTGTCACACTCCTGCTGGCTTCTAAGTCCTAACGCACACTAGCTAATACTTCTTATTTCAACAATTTTTCATACTTTAACACAATACAATCCATCAATACAACAACAATCTTATGTGTTCACCACAACAATCCTTCAATACAACAACAATCTTGTATGTGCTCACCACAAATACTCAGCTCAGTTAGCGCTTTCTATAAAGACTTTATTGAAAGAATGCATATGTTCACAGACATTCAGAAATCAAATTGTCTTAGTTTAGTAAATGTGACTATTTTTATCTTAGACTTGGGACTTTTCATTTTTCTTTATTTGTGTTTGGTCTTTGTGACAGCCACGTGAACATATTTGCAGATTTCTAATGGCAGAGAGTTTAATTGACCAGGGACCCTAGCTGCTGGGTTTTAAACCCACTCATGCATTTATACCAAGACCACACATTCTGTGATCTCCTGGCCAGTGACTGATCACAACAAGGATACTAAGGAAGATGATTTTTGGAGAAGAGGGACTACCCTGATGGATGAAATGTGGTTCCAGGAACAAATTACCAGAAAACATATTGATAGTATATGAAAATCTCTCTCTGTATATGTATGTAGTTTATAGACTCATATATAAAGACAGAGAGAAAGAGAGAGAGTGTAAATGATCAGGACTGGATTCTACTAAGTCTGAGAGATTCATCAGACTGTGATGATGCAAGTCTGACTGCAAGTAAAGGAAAAAGGAAAGGCAGGAGCATCTTAGAAATACCAGATTCCCAATTTTCACTCTTTGGCTTTCTACCTAAGGAGTGCTAGTGAGGTGGTGAACTCATTCAAAGTACACTGTCCATGTCTATGAAATTTCCACAATGTAATTCCCTTGTATCATTAATGACTCCTAAAATAATTTGTTTTGGCAGTACTGGGATTTGAACTCATTGATTTGTGCTTCCAAGGCAGACGCTCTATGTCTTGAGCCACACCTCCAGCCCCTTTTGCTGTAGTTGTTTTGGAGATAAGGTCTTGCTTTTTGCCCAGGCCAAGCCTGGACTGCAACCCTCCTGTTTTATGTTTCCCTGTTGTTGTTGCAATGATAGGCGCACATCACCATGACTATTTTTTTCATTGAGATGGGGGTCTCACGAACTTTTTTTTGCCTGGGCTGGCCTAGAACCCAAATCCTCCTGATCTTTGCCTCCTAAGTAGCTAGGATGACAGGGTGAGCCACCAGTGCCCAGTGCACATTCACTTTTACCTTGCTTTTTTCTTTTTGTGTGATTTTCTTTTTGTGAGGCAAATTAAGAGCAGGAAAACAACAGATCACACAGGATTTAAATATCACTGAGGATAATCCATGACTGACTGAGAGCTTCTGTATATCTACTGAGTTGTATAATGTATATGGGGGAACTAAAAAGTTTGTTTTTGAAATTTCTTTTGACTTTTTAGCTATTATTATTTTGACTGCCCTTTACCAAATCACATGCAATAAATAATAAATAAGGCGGGCTTACTGTATTTATTCTTCCAGAACTTTCCCCTTGCAAGATACCCCTAGCTGGTTACTTTCTTCTACTGGATTTCATAATTCCCATTAGACATTATGCAGTCCTCTACAGAAGACCACCCCCACCCCATTTCTCCTGCACTTTTGAGCTTGCTGACAGTAGGGCCTCCTGATGTTATTCATTAGCTCTTTTGACATTTCTCTGCCATCTACCTGTGCTTATGTAAATCGTTACTTTAGTAAACTCTCCTCAAATTATTTCCTTTTAAGGGGCCCTGCTGATACTTTTGCTTACTGATTTTCGTCTTAAGTGAATTGTTGAAAAAAGGCTTAAATTAGTTATAGCAACTAAAAAGAGATGAGGACAGCATCTCACTAAAGGATGGGTTTCTGGATTTCTGTCAACAGTCCCTCCTTCCATTAAAGAAAGGGAATGCACTTTTGAATTTCTTGGAATATTTTTAGAGGACTGTCAGTCTCAAGTGCTGCTATAGAATTTGAAACTTGGCTATGGTTATGATCAAGGTATATGTATGGGTTGAAGTTTTAAAATACCAAAACCAGAGTATACATAGATAGGCTCTTGATGCACAATCCACTACTCAGCTGTTCTTTGGAAAAGTGGATCTGGATTATTATAATGTGGAAATATATTTATCTGTTAAAATGATGGTAAAATAATTTCGGTTCTAAAAAGACAAAAATCAGATACCAAAATGAGTTGATAAATCAGAATACATATTTTCAAAGTAAGTGTCCAAGAACCAGCAAGATAATAAAGACATAATAGAGTGACAGAAGAGAGTAGGGGTCTACTAACGTTTTTCTGTAAAGAAGAGAGCAAATATTTTAGGCTTTGTGGGCCATATCATTTCTGTTGCAACTACTCAATTGTCGTTGTGGCACAAAAGCAGTCAAAGAGAATACTTACAGGAGCAAGCATACCTATGTTGCAGTAAAACTTTATTGACTGCAATAAAAGATGGGCAATAGACTTGATTTGGCAGACAGGCTGTAGTGTGCTGATTGTTGGCACTGAGAAAGTAAGGATTTATAAAGAATTTCTTCTTCCTTCTTTCCTTCCTTCCTTCCTTCCTTCCTTCCTTCCTTCCTTCCTTCCTTCCTTCCTTCCCTCAGTCCCTCCCTCCCATCCCGCTTTCTTTCCTTTCCTTTCTTTCTCTTGCAGTGCTTGTGTTATCCAAACCAAGGAAGACATTTGTTACTTTCCATATCTCTCATTCCTCCCTTCTTCACCATAATCCTCGTAGGACTCATAACATGAATAGTATGAGAGGAAATTAAATACTATTTGTACAAGATTGAAAAGTAGGGGCTCTATTTATAAATGTGCTAGTTTAAAGTATGTATCTGTATCTAAGAAGAAAAAAGGTGGTACTGGGACCACGTTCCTGTAGGGAGAGAGTCAAGCTTTTAAACAATTTCAATGTCATAGGCAAGTGGACCTCCAATGGAAAATCCCAGATAAAAAGACACTTTTTCTATGCTTCTGCCACTTCTGAGATGGCCCAAATAGGCAGGTGTGATGGGTATTGTAATTTTTTCATTGATTCCATACTCTATGTATAAGCAATTATTTTCAGCTCGTCCCTGTAAACGAAGTAAAAGGTCTTGGACTTTCTTCTCCTTCCATACATCTCCACTTTGCCACAAGGAATTAATATCAGGTGTCTTACCAAAGCACTGATCAATTTTTCCTTTGTGGACAAGTCTGTTCATATTGTTACCTTTTCCAAGAAAGAAATATGCAATTGGCTGCTTTGTACGATACATGTGTTTATATTGTCCCCTGAAAGAATTTTGCAGTGATTGAGCATACTTTTCCATTTGTTTAGAATCTTGATCTAGCTGTTGGTTTTCTGGCCAAAATAAGAGTGAAGCTAGGAAATAAGGTTCTGAAAATCGATGAGTCAGTCCTATTTGCTGCAGGACTTCTCGAAGCTGATCTTTCAGTTTTTTAATTGACCTCACTGATTTGGAGGTAGGTTTAATACAAGAGAGAATGATGTTGGCTAAGATGAAATTTTGCTTTTCCTTTGGCTGGACTCTGACAACACATTGTTCAAAGAGAAAAGTGTATCTGTCCACTATATATTCCATAGTGTAGGTAGCATCTTCTTGATTTTTGATAAGATATTCCAAGAGTCCAGAAAACTTGTCTGCTTTTAAAGCTTCTAAGCTTCTCCGATTCCTCTCTACTTGAAGTGGCAAACTGAGCTTTGATTCAAGGTTTTGCAATTCTTCTAAGAGACCAAATATGTCTATGTACTTCTTAAAATATGCAGCCACCTTTTTCCGAGTTTTGTTCTCTTCATTTTGCTTAATGTTGTTCCTGGGTTTCAGGAGGACAAAGTAATCATCAAAAAAATCAAAGGACTTTTTCAAAGAAGATTGCAAATTAGTTAGATAAGGAATAAAGTTTTTGAGAGCTAATTTAAATTCATTTAGATCCCCTGGAATATCACAATTTCCAGATATAAAATTGATCATATCTCGTTTAGATAGTTCATTTCTATTGTCAAAAAAAGGAATGAGCTGGAGAATTTGGATTGTGTAGAAGCCTACTTCTATCTCCCCTTGATAACCAGCTATGTTGTAAGTGTCATACCTCCTTTTGGACTTCTGATACAACCTTTCCTTCACTTCATATTCTCTGTCTTCACTTTGCTGCTGCGATTCTTTGAATGCATTTGAGGCTTGTACTGCTAAATCCAAAAGATCAGTTAGATCATCAACTGAAATGTTCCTGTTTTTGCTATTGTCCTCAATCCACCATCTTATTTTGCTTTTATAAACTTGACCCAGTGTATCTGAGATGTAAGAATTGTCAGGTTCAATCTCTTTTGCTTGTTTTGCCCAGTTTAGAGCACTGCCAAAGTCCTTTTCTTTAATGTAGAAATATCTTGCCAAGGCTTGGCAAATGAATGCATTTGGGTTGAACCGGTGGATACCCTCAAGCAATACATTTTTAACAGCCACATTTCCTTCATCTTTGTGTAACGCTTCAATGAATGGGGAAAACCAGTTCCCTGTTTCACCTTCATGTTCATTGCGCTGTCTTGTGAGCAGCAGTGTTTGCATATCTTGGAGAAACTTGCTTTTTCCTATCCCAGGATCATAGAACAAATTTTCTGTAAGCATATCCAGAATAATTTGACTTTTATTCAAGTTATAGCTTTTCTTCAACTCCTCCAGTGAGAGACTTGCAATCAAAGGGTGGATGATACGTACTCCACAGTATTTTCCACATTCTTCCACCTCTGTTTTTATCAGAATTGTAGAGTAGGTGCCCATTTTGTCTTCAAGTTTTTCTGTTCCCCAGAAAGCCTTCTTGTTTGCAATTCCTAAGTACTTCTCACACTGTGATAGTGAAATGGTAGTATCTGGAACATATGAATTAAGAAGAGCCAGAAAAGAAAAGAGTTTTGCTTCCTTGGTAAAAACATTCTGCCCTTTCAGAATATTCCTGACTACCTTTTCTATATACTCTTTATTAAAGTTGGTTTTCATGATCATGAAGGAATAAAAGTCTTCAAAATTTTTATGCTGTTCTTTGATTTCTTTCAATTTAAGCTCAAAAGCTCTCTGTTCTTTGGGAGTCAGTTGTTGTATTAGAGCAATACTGTCTGGGATCTTTGCACTTTTTTCAGGATTTTGTGATCTTGTGCAATTTAGGATGATCACGAGAGGTTTCTCATATCGAATGTATTTTTCAGCGACAGCTGTTTGAATGGAGGCCTGCAGAAGGTAGACATTATCTTGTTCTTCAAAATCGTCAACAAGGAGCAGTACAGGTAGGTACTCCTGATGGTTTGTTGCCCCATAGGTAATTAAATTGGTCACCTGTCCTCCAATTTCTGAAAAATCTACTGTCTTATTTTTTAGCACAGCACATCTGAATTTCTCCCTTAGTTCCCAGAGAATATGCATAGCCAAGGTAGTCCCCCCACAGCCAGGATGATGATACAGATGAATAATTTTGACACATGTTGGTTTAGAAGAATCTGCCCAGTTCTGAATCATTTCTTTAAGTTTTTCATATTTGTCCCTTTTGACAAAAGGTGAAGAATAGTTTTCGGAAGAAAAGTAGAAGTTCCACCATGATACTTTGCCACCTCGATAGAAGTCTTCCTCTTTTGATGCCTTGAATTCAAGAAACTTCATTTTATCTTTCTCTAAGAGTGTACCTTTGCATTCATTTTCACAGAGAATTTCTAGAGCAGTCATGATATCTTCTTCTTTTTTCAGAAGGACAGTGGATGAACCAACAGATGGCAAAAATCTCTTTGAAGATTGAGTGACAGATTTTAGTTTAAGAATAGTGCCATTTATCTCTTCAAGATTTAAAGCAGAAATACATTGGTTTGATAATTCATCTTGTTGTCTTGTTAATCTTGCTTCAAGTAGGTCTTTCCATACCTGACATATGTTTGAATGTACACAAATGCACAGTATGTTTTCCATTCCTTTGAGATCTTGGTAGAAAGCACAGAAAGTCTCAATGAGGGGGTCTCTTGGGTCATCCACAGAGGAGAGTAATAGAAATACCACCAAAAGCTTCCCTCTTGGCATGATATCTTCATGTGTAAGAAACGAAATCAGTTTCCTGACTTCGGAAGCTCTTTCTCTTTGCCAGGAAATTGGATCTAAGGGTTCATATTTTTTACTACCAAGGTCTGATCTGCCATTGCAGAAAATCCAGCTGGGTTGCTTGTAAAGATTCAGATTAGAAATCTTCTCATTTGATGTTGTTTTCCCTTCTACAAATAGACTTGGGAAGTGAAGGTTTGCTACTCGGCTTTCTTTGAAAGATTTGACCACTCCATTGCTCTCAGATTCAGGATCAAACTCTAATACAGCAAACAATTTAGGAATTTCCTTTAGGAATTCCAAGTGTTTTATTTGATTTGGATGGCATTTATTTGTGACAAGAATGTACCATTGATAGTATGAATTATCTAACAAATCTTGATTTCCTGTTAACAGTTTAACCAGCTTTTGTCCCTCAGTCTTGTTTTTAGCTGGTTTTTCTTTGGCTTTTTCTTCTGCTTCTTTCCTAGACTCTGCCACTGTTTTTAAATCTAATTTAAAAGCTTTGAAATCAGCTTTAGTTTTAATGATGTCTTTAGTTTTGGGCCCATCTCGTACAAAGACTGAGTATTTTGAACTTTGTTCCCATTTGCTGTTGCTGTAGTTTTGCATTTTGATCTGGAAATAGTCATGTTCACATTCCGAGTATTGTGGAATGACATCTACTTCCACGACAAACCTGTCAGATAGCGTACTATTTGGCAGTAGGACTTCCACGAATCTTGGCTCTCGAATGCACTTCTTTGCTTGTTGGACCTGATGGGCTTCAAAATACTGGTGTATCATCAGATCAAAGTGGTTGATTAGGTCTTCTTTGGTGACTTTTGTGACTTTGATGCCAACAATTTTCCCATGGGGTTTGTCTTCAACTCCCAAATGAATGGTGCCATTGGTACGTGAATTCATACAAGCTGAAGCAAATCGGAAAACCTCATTGCTGAATTTCATCTTAATGTCCTCTTCAGTGGCTGTTTCTGTATTTGTGAGGGCTTTGAACTCATGGACTGGATCAATGAGATTGAGCGGTCCTGTTTCAGGCTGTAGATGGAAGTGTAGTTTATAACGATATGGATCATTGAATTCATCAAAAGGATAAGGGACACATGTTGGCTCTAGGGACGGCTGCTTTCCCAGTAGCTCTCTCTTGTCTTCTGGGGGCTCGCTTTTTAGTGGCTTAGAACCTTTAGCTCCTGAACTTCCATTAGAGGCATTAGCCATATCTGAGTTCTCTTGATCCCTCTGTTTTTGCTTTGACATCTCTCTACTTTCCATTTGCGTCAAAGTTTCCTTTTTAGGACTGCTTTTCCTGCCTTTTTTCCTCTTAGATGTCCGAGTAGGATCTGCAGAGGATGTTTGCTGCAATTCTTTGAGTAGTTCTTCTATTTGGATAGCTGGTCCATGTGTTATGCCCATATCAATAAGATGTTTTTTATTTAACAACTTCAAGATCATTCCATTCACATCCTGTGCAATCAAGATTTCCCTGTGTTTTTGGTCAATCTTATGACTTTCTAACCACCGGTTTACATCCTCTTTTGTCCAGTCATCTGTATTTTCTGGAAGGTTTAGTTGCTCTGCCATTCTGATAACTGTATAGAGAAAAAGAAAAATGGGTTAGTATTTTACAAGTAAAAATTTTAAAACAGTAGGGTTTTCAGTAGGTAATATATGAGTATGTTATAAAACTTAAAAAGTTCCTAACACCAGTTTCTTCCATAGCCTCTCAGAGAAATAACTACCAAATATAAATATATGAGCACTTTTTCCCGCACATGAGTAATAGTGTGCTATGTACGATTCTCTTTATCTAGCTTTATTCACTAAGTATATGCTGGAGATGATTCTAATCAATATCTACAGAGATGCTTCATTATTTTTTATGGTTGTTAGCTATAATGTGTGTTTGAAGTATTATTTAAGAATGTTCAGTTTTGTTGTAGAAAATAAGAGAAAAAAGAGAACATGTGAAAGTAAATGAAGAAACAATTAGTTTGTGAAATATGTTATAACAGATATAGATGAACTAAATACAGCATGTGTTTAGTACAGTTTAGTATAGGAAGGAATAGAAGTACCAAACAGACATTAAATATTCATGAGACACATGGAGGACTTAACGCTTTGGGAATATTAATTGGATCAACCATTGGTAATACCATCTGATCCTTTGTGTTATATACTCAAGAAATATGAATAAAATCCAGAGTAGCTTATCAGGATAATTAATGGCCAATAGCTGTGGTCAAGCATACTCATCCCTCAGTGTCTTTCTGATTGGAGCAAGTGTATGCATTTGACCTAGCGCTTTTTCTATCCACTGAACCCTTTTAGACAGATTTGACTCTAGGCATATACAGGAAGCAAGGTTTCTACATTTTAATCTAACTGGCAAAACAATGCTATCAGATTGCCATAAGTTATAAATATGTGTGGTGTAACAGCTACAGCAATCACTAAAAAACTTATCCAAGATGATACACAGAAAGAAATGTTTATAAAAATGTAATTGCAAAAAATTTTCAAGTTATCTATAAGAAGGCAGAAAAATAATATAGATAAGGAAAAGCAGAGAGAATAGAGAACAAAATTAAAATGTCAGACTCAAACCCTAACATATCAATAGTTATATTCGATGTAAGTGGTTTAAATATAGAAATTAAAAGAGTTTGTAGAGTGGGTTAAAAATGTGACCTGATTACATACTGTATGTATGACATTCAGTTAAAAATAATGAAAGGTAGGTTGAAAGTACAAATACAGACAAAGCTATATCATTCAAATATTTATCAATAAACACTGGAGTGGACATATTAATGACAGATAAAATAGACTTCAGAACAAAGAAAATTAACAGAAACAGGAATAATATGTGATGATATAATGGTCAGCTTAACAGGATGTCATAAAAATCCTAAAATGTATGCATCAAAGTTGTTGCAAAGTGTGAAGCAAGTGCTAATTGAACTTTTCAGTTTTAAACAAATCCACAATTATAATTGGAGACTTTAATACTTTTGCCTTAGCAACTGATATAATGATTAGATAGAATATTCAACATACAATAACATCAACCAACATATTCTAAACTACATCTATGGAACATTCCATCTCAAAACAGTAGAATACCATTCTTTTCAAGTGCCCGAGTAATCATATCATAAATTATTAAACAAACTTCAACAAATTTAAAATAATTGAATCATACAGAATGTTTGTTAACCATAATGCAGCCTTTTTTTTTTTTTAATGCGGAGATTGGACCCAGGGCCTTACACTCTACCATCTGAGTCATACCTCCAGTCCCTTTGCTTTTAGCTTGTTTTTCAGATAAGGTCTTGCACTAGCTTTGCCTGGGTGGGCTTCAAACTGTGGTCTTCCTGTCTTTACTTCTGAAGTAGATGGAATTACAGGCATGCACCATAATGCAATCTTTTTTTTTTGTAGGAACAGTGTTTGAGTTCAGGGTTTCATGCTTGCAAAGCAGGCACTCTTACTACTTAAACCACACCTCCAGTCCATTTTTCTCTGGTTATTTTGGAGATGGGGTCTCACAAACTATTTGCCTGGGTTGTTCTCAATCTGATCCTCCTGATCCTAGCCTCTCAAGTAGCCACAATGCAATCTTAATTGAAATTAATAACAGAAAAGTAAGAGGACAATCATAAAACACAAAGCTACATACATCTAAGTTCATGGTCAAAGAGGAAGTCTCATGAGAGGTAAAATATGTTACAATGAATGAAAATGAAAATACAATATACCCAAATTTGTGAGAGGACACAGTTAAAGCAGTGTTTAAAGGGAAATTTATAGCAATAAATGCAAACATTAGAAAAGATGAAGTCTCAAAACAATAATCTAAAAATTTATCTTAAAAACTTATAAAATAAAATGAAGAGTAAAATAAACACAAGGCAAACAGAAAGAAGGAAATAAGGAAGATAGGAGAAGACATAAATTATACTGAAAATGGAAAAATAATGGAGAACATTAATGAAACAAAGATACATCCCTGAAAAGAGAAATAAAATTAACAAACATCTACAAAAAGTGACAGAATGAAAAAAAGATGACTAATTTACCAATATGAGATAGATAATTTGAATAGTCCCATAATTTCTAATAAAACTGGCTTTTTAATTTTAGAAATCTCCCCAAAAATAAAAATTGCCAGGCTCAGACAATTTTCTTGAAGAAGTTTATAAATGTTTAAAGAATTAATCCCAATTCTACACAATTCCAGAAAACAGAAAAAGAGGAGTATTCCCCAATTCATTTATGAAGCTGGCGTTATCCTATTAGAAATACCAAAAGGAATATAGGTCAGGTTACAATAAAGGCATGTGTACACCCATGTTTATCACAACATTATTCACAATAGACAAGCTATAGAAACAGCCAACATGCTCCACTACTGATGAATGGATTAAGAAAATGTGGCATTTATACACAACGGAATTTTACTCAGTCACAAAGAAGAATGAAATTTTGTCATTAGCAGATAAATGGATGGAACTGGAGAGCATCATCAAATGAAGTTAGCCAGGCTCAGAAAGTCAAAGGATGCACACTTTCTCTCATGTGTGGAATATAGACCTAATACAAATACAGCAATGTTATGAAAAACAGGTCATGCTAAGGGAAAGTCACATATGAAAGGGGGGAGAGTAAAAAAGGAAGCTAACAAGGTGAATATGGTTAATGTACTTTCTATATAAGAACGAATACGGAACTGTTAAACCTGTTGAAATCACCATAAGAAGGGGACTAAGGTAAAAAGGAAAAAAATAGAGGGGATAACCCAGTTTGGGTAATTTAGGTAATAATACACTGAAATGTCACAAGGACATTCTCCCTATATAGCTATATTAAACAAACAAAAATGTTCTTTTCTTTTTTTTTTTTTTTTACAAAAATGGAGAACAGTAGGGCAGATGATGTCCTGTTTGGGGATTTGGTACCAGCAGGAGGGAGAGGATGTGGGGAGAGGTAGTAGGAGGTGAATATTGTGCAAATATTATATACACAAGTATGAAAATGGAAAAATGAGACCTGTTGAAACTATTCAAAGTATGGGGTTAAGAGGGATAAGAAGAATGATGGAGGGGGTGAATTCAACTATGATATATTATAAGAACTTGTATAAATGTCACAATGTGCCCCCAGTACAATAATAATAGTAAAAAAGAAAAACCAGACAAAGACAGTATAAAGCATAAAAATTAATCTGTATCCTTTACGGATATAGAAGCAAAAATTCTTTTTTTGTAGAGTTTTCTTTTGTATTCCTTTGTTTTTAATTAGATATGATTAAGTACACAATAACTGTATAGAAGTAGATAAGCTAAAAGAAAAAACATGACTCAAATCCAATACTTTGAAAACCCATTAACATTATTTTTTTGCTTTTCAAAAAAATTTTTTTTATTCTTAAACATAATAAAATCATCTTTAGATTATTCCTAATTGATTTTTAATGTTTTTCTTATTTATTACATTATTGTTGTATTGGGGGTATATTCTGACATTTATAAAAGTTCTTGTAATATATCATAGTTGAGTTCATCCCTTCCACCATTCTCCTTTATCCTCTCTCCCTCCATTCCTGGAACAGTTTCAACAGGTCTCATTTTTTCATGTTTTCATACATGAGTACATACTATTTCCACTACACTCACCCTCCTTCACCCTTTCCTTATATCCTCCCCAATGCCACTGGTGCCAATCCCCATACAAGGCCTGTTTTTTCCCTGTTCTCCATAATAATTCAACACACATCATAATTAAAACTTAGGAAACTAGGACTAGAGTAGAGCCTGATAAAAAGCATATACAAAAAATCTATAGCTAGCCAAGTGTTGTGGCACATGCCTGTGATGCCAGCTACTTGGGAGGTAGAGGCAGGAGGATTGAAACTTTAAGGCCAGCCCCAGAAAAAAAGGAGTGAAACCCAGTCTCAAAAATAAATAAAAACAAAAGGACAGGGGGTATAGCTCAAGTGGTAGAGCGACTCTCTAGCAAAAAAATAAAAACCAGAAAACAAAACAAAAGGTCTACAGCTGGCATAATTAATGGTGAAAGGCAATGCTGTTTCCTTAAGATTAGAAACAGGCTAAGATGTCTACATTTATGACTCTTATTTGACATAATGATGGAAGTTCTAAACATGTAATAAAAGAAGAAAATAAAAAGACATAGGTGTGAAAAGGAAGAAATGAAAGTGGTTGCATAGAAAATGGTGCATAATGTACAAAAAATTCACAGGACTAACGTGAGTTCAGCCACTCTTCAGAATACAAGATAAATTTTTAAAGAATCAGTTATCTCTCTACATGTGAGAAATGAACATATGGACCCCCAAATTAAAAACTGATTCCATTAATAATCACTAAAAATCCACGAAATACTTAAGTATCTAACAAAACCTGTAGAAGACTTTTTTTGGCTGAAAATTACAAAACCTGATGAAAGATTTAAAATCCTAAATTAATGAAGAGTCATACTACATAGATAGATTGGAAATTTCACGCAGTGCAGTGCAATCATTAAACAGGTTTAACATAATTTCTATCAAAATCCCAGTATGGAA